AAATAATGAAGCTTTAAAAACAAAAATAACAACCCCTGCCTGTGGAAGACATACTCTCTTATCCCAGCCATCTGACTGTCATTTGTAAGCATGCAGATTGGATTAAACGAGCGCTCTCTCTTTTCAAAACAAGCCTTATACAAAAAACAGCTCTAAAATATATGGCAGTTCCAGTGGAAAAGGAGTGTGTGGGACGCTTCACAGGGCTCTGTAAATCTTTTTCTGTTACAGCATTGCACAAATGATGATCTTCTATTTATATAAATCTCGTGTGTGTTTTTGTTTTATTGCTTCCTTTACGAAGTGGTTTCTAATAAGTAATCAGACCAGAGATAGAGAGAGAACTATCCTTATTACAGTGTAATAGTCTTATCTGTGTACTTATGTGAGGTAACAGAGACAGCATGTTCCACGACAGGTGCTTGAGTCTTTCGATTTTTTTCCCCCTAGGAACTTGCTGTGATGAAACAGATGTTGATAAATCTTCATGGGAAACCCCATGGAGACACTTTGCCTCAGAAAAAGGTTCGAAGTCCGCCGGCAAAAGCCCAATCGAATTCGTCGGTCAATTTGCCTTTAGAGCGCGAGGCAGAAAACGTGTTTGTGCCCAAACCAACATTATTTGTAAGTACAATAAGTTTTTTTTAATTAAGAAAAAAGTTTTGTTTAAATCATGACCAGTACGGTATAGCAGGTAGCTACAGTTGCCAGCTCCAGATTGGGACATTCCTAGAGATGTTGTGGTGGAGCCAGGGGAGGGACCCCAGCCAGCCATAATGCCATAGAGTCCGTCCTCCAAAGCAGCCATTTTCCCCAGCGTAACTGATCTCCATTCTCTGGAGGTTAGTGGTAATTGCAGGAGATCTTCAGGCCCCACCTGGAGGTTGGCAACCCTACAGGTAGCATATCTAAATTGGGACAGAGAGACCAAAGGGTAAAACAAAGGATCAGAGAACAATGTAAGAAAAAGAAGAAGAAGAGATTGGATTTATACCCCGCCCTTCACTTGGAGTCTCAGAGCAGCTTACAAACTCCTTTCCCTTCCCCTCCCCACAACAGACACCCTGTGAGGTGGGTGGGGCTGAGAGAGCTCTGACAGAAACTGCTCTTTTTCAAGGACAGCTGTGCCAGAGCTTGTGACTGACCCAAGGTCACATCAGCAGGTGCAAGTGGATGAGTGGGGACTCAAACCCGGTTCTCCCAGATTAGAGTCCGCGCACTTAACCGCTACACCAAACTGGCTCTCTGGCATTAAGTCCTCATTTATGGAAGTTATTGAGCACCATGTTTTTAACTGAGGATGTTTTATGATGTATTATATGTTTTATATTATTATGTATATTATGTTTTTATTATGGCAAGGTTCTGCCTTGCCTCTGTAAGCCGCCCTGAGCCCATCGGGGAGGGCGGGGTATAAATGTGAAAAATAAATAAATAAAAATGTGGAAGACGGACATGGTACGTATAAAGTAGATAA